CACTCACACCACTCACTGCACCTGTGGCAGTCTCTCTGGCTGACCCCTCAGGGGGCCCAGTTCTTGCACGGTCCACCACGGTGCTCCCGTGCCCAGCGGTTCCGTCTGGCTCACTGACAGGCTTCCACCTCCCCTCGTTCTCTATGAACTTGGTGAGCAACGCAGTCCTCTAGGACCAGTGGGTTGACACCTTTACCCCTGGAGGACAGCATGTGGCGATCTGTACGTGCCCCTGGACCGGCCACCACCTGGCCACGTTTACCCGTCGGCCAGGGTCGAGTCTTTACACACTGACGACTGCGCCTCCTCAGGTAGCTGCTACTGGTCAGGTGTCTGCGTCAGGCCAGGTAGCCTCCCCTTGTGAGTGTCGCTCCCTGTCGCGCCAGACTCTTCTATGGCACCACCTCCTGGGTCACCCCTCCCTGCCACGTCTATGTGGCATGCACCGTCGCCTCCTTGTGTCTGGTCTTCCCAGGTCTCTCCCTCCCCTTCCTGCCTCGCCTGCGCCGCCCTGCCTTCCTTGCGTCAAGGGGGGGCAACGCGCCGCTCCTCACTCCTCCTCGTTTCCCCCGATATAGGCAACCCTTCCTTGCGTCAAGGGCGGTGAGCGGTACTTTCTGCTGGTTCTCGACGACTACTCGCGTTACACCACGGTCTTCCCCTTGCGCACCAGGGGTGAGGTCCCTGCTGTCCTGATCCCTTGGATCCGAGCAGTTCGTCTCCAGCTCCGCCGCAGGTTCCGCCAGGACCTTCCTGTCCTGCGTCTGCACTCTGACAGAGGTGGTGAGTTCACCTCCGACCTCTTGCGGGCCTTCTGTTAGGGGAGGGCATCGAGCAGTCGTTCACGCTTCCGACCTCACCGCAGCAAAATGGGGTTGCTGAGTGCCGCATTGGCTTGGTCATGGAGGTCGCTCGTACCTCCTTGGTCCAAGCGGCGGCTCCCCATTTTCTGTGGCCGTTTGCGGTCCGGTACGCCGCGCAGCAGCTCAACCTCTGGCCCCGTGTCTCCTTATCGGAGGCCTCGCCGACACTGCGTTGGACGGGGGAGGTTGGCGATGCGTCGCGTTTCAGGGTTTGGGGTGCTCGTGCCCTTGTCCGCGATACGTCTGCGGACAAGCTCTCCTCCCGCACCATCCCCTGTGTCTTCCTTGACTTTGTCCCTGACGCGCCTGGCTGGCAGTTTTACCACCCCACCTCGCGCCGTGTCCTGCCCTCTCAGGACGTCACCGTTGAGAATTCTGTTCCTTTCTACCGTCTCTTCCCCTACCGCACTGCCCCTCTCCCTCCCCCGCCGCTTTTCCTCGCTCCAGGTCCCCCTCCGGTAGACCCCCTCCCCCCTCAGAGTCCTGCTCCTTCAAGTGTGTCTCAGGTAGACCCGCCCCCCTTGGCTGAGCCTGTAGAGGTCACTTGCGACTCAGGTGCTGCTGCGGGAGGTGCTGCTGGGGGTGCTGCGTCTGGGGGTGCTGAGCCTGCGCATGAGGTGCTGGGGATTGCGGAGCCTGGGGGTGCTGAGCCTGTCCGTGAGGTGCTGGGGGGTGCGGAGCCTGGGGGTACTGAGCCTACAATTGCGGAGCCTGGGGGCGCTGAGCCGGAGGGTGCCTGGTCAGGGGGTGCCGAGTCTGATGGCGTTCCTCTGGGTCTCGTTTCCCGACGCGGGCCTCTCTCACCACAACAGGCACGACAGAGGCTTGCGTCGCGTGGTGTCTCTAGTCCTGGAGGTGCTCGTACAGGAGGTACTGGAGCTGCCGGGACTGGTGCTGCTCCTGGAGCTGGAGGTGTCGGCTCTGGGGGTGCTGCTGCTGGAGGTACTGGGGCTGGAGGCCCTGGAGCTGGTGCTGTCGACCCTGGAGTTGGGGACCCTGGAGCTGGAATTGCCGGTTCTGGGGGTGCTGCTACTGGTGGCGCTGGAGCTGGAGGTGCTGCTGCTGGAGGCACTGGAGCTGGAGGTGCTGCTGCTGGAGGTTCTGGAGCTGCTGGAGGCGCTGGAGCTACTGGTACTGGTGGCACTGCACCGCCGAGACTTCTTCCAGACCTTCTCCCCCACCCCGAAGATGACCACTCTTCGGGTACTGCTGCACGTCACTGCTCAGCGTGACTATGAGCTTCACTCTCTGGACTTCAGCACAGCCTTTTTACAGGGCAGCCTGCATCAGGAGATCTGGCTGCGCCGCCCACCTGGCTTCACTGGGTCGTCCCCTCCTGGTACTCAGTGGAGCCTTCGCCGGCCAGTCTACGGTCTCCGTCAGGCGCCTCGTGAGTGGCATGACACACTGAGGACGACACTTGCGGCTCTTGGGTTTGCACCTTCCACTGCCGACCCGTCGCTGTTTCTGCGCACCGACACTTCGTTGCCGCCGTTCTACATCCTCGTGTACGTCGACGACTTGGTCTTTGCCACTGTTTACACTGAGGCTCTCGCCCTTGTGAAGTCGGAGCTGCAGGAGAGACACACGTACACAGACCTGGGTGAGCTGCGCAGCTACTTTGGCCTGCAGATCACCCGGGACAGAGCACAGCGCACCATCACACTGACTCAGTCACACATGGTGCAGCAGGTCCTTCAGCGCTTCGGCTTCACTTGGTCCTCGCCACAGTCCACTCCTCTGGCTACCTTCAGACGAGTCCGTAGAGCCGAGTGGCCCGTACCCAGAGCTTGTGGGCTGCCTCATGTACCTGATAACCTGCACTCGTCCTGACCTCGCGTACCCTCTTGGCCTTCTGGCACGCTACGTGGCTCCTGGTAGGCACCGAAAGGTGCACATGGATGCTGCGAAGAGGGTACTGCGCTACTTGTGCAGTACATCGGGCATGGGGCTCGTGCTTGGAGGGCAGAGCTCAGTTGTCCTCACTGGGCACTCAGACGCTTCTTGGGTTGACGACCTGGCTATGCAGCGGTCGTCACATGATTACACGTTCAGCCTTGGCTCTGACTCTGTTTCTTGGCGGTCTACACGCTCGTCTTCTGTTTTCAGCTCCATTTGTGAGGCTGAGATCTACGCCACAGCCATGGCTGCACAGGAGCTACGTTGGCTCACCTACCTGCTGACCGACTTGGGAGAGAGGCCTCGTTCTCCTCCAGTTCTGTACGTCGACAACAAGGCTGCCATTGCCTTGCTTTGAGCATAGAACGAAGCACATCGCTCTGCGTTACTTCCTTGCTCGTGAGTTGCAGCAGCGTGGTCAGCTTCGTGCCGCTCAAGTGCCCACCCGGGCCAACACGGCTGATGTGTTCACCAAGGCCCTTCCGGCTGGTGATCATCAGCGCTTCTACACTGCTTTAGGCCTGGTGCCTACGTTTCCTCACTTGCTGTAGACTCTGGTTGTACTGTGATCTATATGTATATATATATACCTGCATGTTTACTCTTACTAGGTAGTGATCACTGTACTGTTGTTGTTGCATATATACCTCTACATGTGAACTGGCCTTGTGGCCCCTTTGCTTGTGCTCGGAGTGTGTGGCGACGTTGTGATCCACCCTGAGCTTGCATTGCTTTTCTTGACTGGTCTTGTGACCCTTTGTTCTCCCCCACTTTGCCTATGGGGTTGTGTCAAACTGTATATGTTATGCTAGATTATGTAGGCTGTAGTGGGGTAGCCAATGTAGGGTACAACCTCTTAGGGTTTTTACTTGTACCAAACTCTCTCGATAGTTTCACCCATTCCTAGCTACCTACTCTAACAAGCACATCAATGAAACAGTAACGGGTATTAACTCCGAGGTCTGGGTTTGCAATCGTATAATAATTCGTGACAGCGTCCTACCTTCCACCCATTGTCAAGCCCTGGAAGCACACTGTGTGCTTGCTCGAGCGTATCCGCCCACACGATGAGACCCATAGTCGGTGCCCCATGGCGAACCATAGTCGCCGCTGTCTCACGCGCAAGCGCACGGACGACAAACGGGGTCCTTGGTGCGTCCGGCGCTTGTTCCTGAGGGAGCGTGGTGATGCTTGGCGCAGGCACGTCATTCGCCGAGCGTCGTGGGCGTGGTGCGGATGGGACAGCCGGAGCTGGACGAGCTTGGGCTGTGGCGCGACGTGCCTCCGTGTTACGCAGCTGATTGCGCAGCTCATACACCTCACGTTCGTGTGCGCGAAGACGAGCCACCAACGCCTCGTCGACCGAAGCTGTCTGTGTCCCCCTGTTTGCACGGGATCCCGCGTTGCCACGGATGTTTGGGCCATTAGCCCCTGGAGTCACGATCGCCACGTGCGGCGCCGCCTGGTACACGTCGTCCAATGGCCTCTGGCTAGCGTGCGCCTCTGTAGAGGGTAAAAACATGTACAAGGAACGAAAAAAGGATTTGCGAGAGAGATTATACGGTGCTGCTCACTGGGACTCTTCGTATTCCACTGTATTCCTATATAAACCCCTGTACCGCATTGTGGTATTAGTCACTTCTGTCGTTCAAATCTTCTTCTAACAGAGTCCGTGCCCAACATTACCTAGCAATCTTCCGCTGCTACACTCCGTGCGATCAACCTGAGACGATCCTATAAGACGGTTCAGATTGTATCAAGGAGTGCACAGTAATGTTTCAATAATTACTATTTGTAACAGTTTCCAACAAAAAATTCCATAGGCTGATTTGGCAAGGGTAGCTAGGAAAAAGCGGCCTACCGTCAGGGCAAAAAGGGTATTTTACCCTTGAAAAATAGACCCTGGTTGTGACAGCGGAGCTCAGCAAAGCAACACGCAGAGAGAAACTAGTGTGGAGCGAGAAATCTTGGCGAGAAATTCCCATGTAGGCATGAAAAAACACCATACAAGCATCACACTTGAGGTTTTCCCACGTGTTGTTGGCTACTCTAGCACTGAGTAGTGTGCACTCCTAACAGTCCATGTGGTGTTCTTGCTGCTGCAGTCTCCCCAGTTGCAGCACCAACTGAGTTTTCAAACTGTGTTCGCCCACGCACTTCAGTCTTCACTTCACCCTTCACTCCACTCTTGACGCTCGCCCACACGCTCTTGACTCTCCAGTGTTGACGCTTGGTCGGTCAGTGGCTGTGGTCCTGCAGGTAGCGCAGGCCGCAGTACTTGCAGACAGCGGGCTGAGGCGCGTCCACGTTGATGTACTCCACCGGATGGCCCAGCGCGGGGTTGGGGCCTGTTAAAAGAAGAGGGGGGAGGAGGGAAGGGGAGAAGGGGAGGTGGGGGCATGTTGATGAGCAGGGCGAGGGCTGAGGGGCGTCCCTGCCCCTGGGGTACTCCACTGGATGGCCCAAGGAGGGGATGGGACCTGGGGGGGAGAGAGAGGGAGGCGGTGGAGGGAAAAGGGTGGTGGCGGGAAAAGGGTGGTGGAGGGAAAAGGGTGGAGGGGGGAAAAGGGAAGGGCAGGGGGGGAAGGGGGTGGGGGTGCATCCACGTTGATGCACTCCACTGAATGGCCCAGGGCGGGGTTGGGGCCTGGGGGGGAGAGAAGCGGGGAAAGGCGAGGATGGGGGAGGCAGGGGAGGTGGGGAGGCAAGATGTTAAGGGACGGTAGAAGGATGGTTCAGGTGCCGCTTTGCTTGAATTTCCGCATGCATGGGTTACAGCCTGCATGGGTTACAGCATGCATGGGTTACAGCCTGCATGGGTTACAGCATGCATGGGTTACAGCCTGCAATGCAATGCGATATGCGGTGGGTGGCATGCAGTGCAGGACATGAGCTCCTCTTGCGCACACCTCTCCTCTCCCACCTTGAAGACCAATCCCCCTTCCTGCCCCCACCTCCTCCACTCCAGCCCCCCCTTCCTCTCCCCACCTCCTCACTCCAACCCCTCTCTCTCCACTTTCGTCACTCCATCCTCCCCACCCACCTTCTCACTTGTCCCTTCCACGCACCTCCCCTGCAGGCAACAACGCGTGAGTGCACGAGGACGGGCGGCACGGCGTTGATGAGCTCCATGGGCGACGCCTGCTCCACCCTCTGATGGCCCACAGGGAGGCATGGGGAGACGCAGCACACACACACAGGTCAATGCGCGCACAGTGATGCATGCACGGTCATGCATGCACGGTGATGGGCGGCACAACACGGCGTCAATGAGCTCCACTGGCCGATGGCTGCTCTGCCCTCTGGGGGCACGAGGGGCGGAGCAGGGAGGGGAAGAGAGGGGAAGGGAGAGAGGGGGGTTGAACAGTGATGCATGCACGGTGATGGGCGCATGGGGTTGATGGGCGCATGAGGTCATGAGCGCCATGGGGTTCATGAGCGCCATGAGGTCATGAGCGCCATGGGGTTCATGAGCGCCATGGGGTCATGAGCGCCATGAGGTCATGAGCGCCATGGGGTCATGAGCGCCATGGGGTCATGAGCGCCATGGGGTCATGAGCGCCATGGGCGATGGTTGCCCTGCCCTCGCAACAGACACGCGACGACAGAGTGAAGAGGGGAGTGTGCGAGCGCGTTGAAGCGACTGAAAACGCTTGGAGGTCACTTCGCGCGTCATGTTTGGGGATTTGCACCACACACCGTGACAACACGCGAGAAGGCTCGTCAGACTAGTAAGCGGCAGGCGGCATGCGAGCAGCAGATGCCTTTTGCGACGCCTCGAGCGCATAATGAAACATTCGTGAACGCCGCTCGTCGGCCACTAGTGAGCGGAAAGCGGCGCGTGTGAAGCGCGGACTTGGAAACGCCATGAGCGACCGACTCCTTTCTGTCGCTCCACGTCCTCGGCGACAATGCCCCGTCGCGCGCTACCGTCGAAATCGCGAGTCGCTCGTGCGACGGATTTAAATCGGACGCGCAATCGAAGTGCAATCGTCGCACTTGGATCCGGCTGCTAGCATGATCGACGAGCAGCACCATCGCGCCCTGCTGGTGATTCTTGAGACGACTCGAAATAAACCTGTCCTGTGGCCGGCACCAAGCACGCGCAATATCTTGCGATGCCTTTCGAGTCGACTCTGAAGTAATGTCGCATCGTGTTATCGAAAAGAATGCTTGTCGCGTGGCACCGTGGTCTAAAGAACGCCATATAAGTCCAGATCGAGTCGCACCTGCATCCACTTGCTCGTGTGGTCCGCGCCGAGAACCATCGCGCGCTCCTGAACTAGTTGCGCAGGCTGCTGCTGCTGACTCAGGAGCGCGCCGCACGATCGGCCGCGCCGAGCCACGGCGGCGAAGAGCCGGGAAGCCATGGCGCGCAGTGCACCGCGGCAGTTGCGAAAGCGGCACGTGCGCGCGGGGAAACCCTAGATGCTCGAGGAGCGGCGCGAGTGCTGGAGTGCTTCTAGTAGTAGTACTAGGGGTCTGGATACGACTCGCGAGTTCACCACGGTTTTCTGTGCTTTAGGAAAAGTAGGCTTAGATTGGTTTTTAGAAAGTTGGGACATCAAGGGTGGGTTCCGTTTGCGCTTCCGGGTGGCGGTGTGCCGTGTTCATTTGCCAGTTCCGGACCCCAGCGCTAGTTGGGACAAATCTAAACATTTTCTCTCCACCAAACGAGTGCTAGAATACTGTTGGGTTGACTGGAGCCGTCACAAGCGAACCTTTTTGTTATATATTCGCGCCGCAACACACACCAGTATTCTTCCCATACCAGAATTTAGCCACGACACCACCACCCTTGCACAGGCAAAATTCTGCTACCGTGTGAAAACCCGAAGCACATGTCGAGAGCCGAACAGTTTCGGTGTCAGAACTGGTGGCATGTCGTCATGCCCTAACACGAGAACTCATACCGGAGCTTATCTGTGTGGTTCTGCTTGTGGGTTGCACGAGAGAACTCGAGGGCTTCTGGGGGCAACTTATTAGGCAAGGCTGATCGCACCGCCGCCCTTGCGGGATCCTCCTGGCCATTCGTCGCAGCGACTCCGCTCAAACCCTTGGTTCTATCCTGCTCCTCACTCCTCCGACTTCCACCCGCCATCCACTCGCGCGCGCTATCGCACCACCTGTCACGATTTGCTCGTTATCTAGGCTCCACTTTCCTCCTCGCAACTCCAGTCGCCCGGTTTTCGTCGCTGCCATTGCGGTGGCTCTACAGTGGTCTCAAGCTTCCACGCTAGGATTCGCTCCGAAGTCGCCGTCGCAGCAACTTCCCTGGCTTGGATACGGAAAGGGATACTGAACACGCGACGCGAGGCGACGCGACGCGATGGGGTGGAAGCCGGCGCAAACGGCGATTCGCGCGTGGAAGATCCTGCGGGGCGACAAGGTGAGCGGCGAGGACGGGATGGCGGAGTGAGGCGGCGTAGTGTGGAACTGGAGAACTAATCAGCTTTGAGGCAACATCGCGTTCCCGTGTGCTCCTCGCGCCATGATGCCTGGGCGCTGCTCATGCCGCTGGGCGCTGCTCATGCCTGCTCGCCCACCACCGCCCTCTTCCCCTCCGCATCATATGGAGAGGCGCTCTTCCTCCGCATTTCCCAGGCCCTTTCCCCACCACATGTTGACTAGAACGTATTCATCTGATGCCTCGCTCCCCATGGCCTCCCATCCCCCTCTCCCCCCAGGTGATGGTGATGGCGGGCAAGGACCGCGGGCAGACGGGCACGGTGACGGCCGTGCTCAAGGAGAAGAACCGCGTCGTGGTGGAGGGGCTCAACCTGGTGAGGGGCTGAACCTGGGGAGGGGCTGAACCTGGGGAGGGGCTGAACCTGGGGAGGGGCTGAACCTGGGGAGGGGCTGAACCTGGGGAGGGGCTGAACCTGGGGAGGGGCTGAACCTGGTGAGGGGCTCAACCTGGTGAGGGGCTCAACCTGGTGAGTTGGGTTTGTCGGTCCGCTACTGTTTCTCGTACCTACCTCCCCAGAAGCTGGGCTGAGTGACACGATTGCAGTAGGCTTTATTTGACATTCATTTCACAGTGTGGCAGCTGGGGTGGAACAGGTGTGCAGTGGAGGAGCGTGGGGCCCCCACACACACCATGCACAGTGGAACTGTTGTCCTGGTCTGGAGTGGTGTTGGGTGTGTGGGGGGAAAACAGAATGGAGTGAGTTGAGTGGGTTGAGTGAGACGGCTGGTGCACGCTACGCACTCGGTGTGGACGACCTCGGAGAAGCACATGTGAACAAGACACCGCATTCAACCCACGCACCATCCTTACGAGCAAACGTCTCACCACCCACACCCCCACCCCGGCTTCCCGCCTGCTCCTCCCACACTTTTGAGTCGACTCAAAAGTCCTCTCAACCTTTTCCCGCCCCTCCACACCTGTCTATCCCCTTTCCCTCTTCCTTTCTTTCCCCACCCGTCTCGTCTCCACATCCCCAACAACCGCCCAGGGCATGATGAGGCGCCCATGGCATGATGAGGCGCTCATGGCATGATGAGGCGCCCATGGCATGATGAGGCGCCCATGGCATGATGAGGCGCCCATGGCATGATGAGGCGCCCATGGCATGATGAGGCGCCCATGCACCCCCTATCGCGCTCACTGCTTCACCACACACGTTCCCTTACAGTGTGTTTCACCATCCAACCCCCTCCGCCCCCCTCTCTCCCCTACCCGCCCTCCTCCTCGTCTGTGGGCTCGTGCGCATCCCGCTTCTTTCCTTGAGGGGTGTTCCCACATTGGCCACTTGGTGAACAGAAGCCAGCACCAACTTCATCTGCCGCTCACCTCACTCTCTACTACTCCTCCTTCCCCCACCCGGCAGCCCAAGAAGCACGAATCTCACCGCCCTGCTCCCCTGCTCTGGTCCCCTCACCAGGGGGAGAGCACTGGAACAAGTGAGGGGACCCACGAGGCGGAGTGATTCTAGTGGAGGCACGCATTCACCACTTCTCTCAACGCTCATCACCCTCTCTCCCCAATGCGTTGGCCCCCACATCTGCTTCCCACTTCCCCGTTCGACCTTGCCATGCCATGCCATGCCCTGCCTTGCATTTCGTAACAGGCGAAGAAGCATGTGAAGAAGGCAGCGGACTCGCCCGGGGGAGTGATCACAGTGGAGGCGCCCATCCACCTCTCCAACCTCTCGCTGCTCGACCCTGAGACTGGGTATGTGGCTGCACTGCTCTCTACACCCACGTGCGTGCATCACTGTGTGCACAAATGAGTCTTGGAATGGCATGATTGCCATCACGCCGCCCATCCACCTCTCCAACCTCTCACTGCTGGACCCCCACAGTGCACCATGCCCCCACAGTGCACCATGCCCCCACAGTGCACCATGCCCCCACAGTGCACCATGCCCCCACAGTGCACCATGCCCCCACAGTGCACCATGCCCCCACAGTGCACCATGCCCCCACAGTGCACCATGCCCCCACAGTGCACCATGCCCCCACAGTGCACCATGCCCCCACAGTGCACCATGCCCCCACAGTGCACCATGCCCCCACAGTGCACCATGCCCCGTGGCGTTCCCTCTCTCTTCCCCTACTCTTCCCTCCCACTACCCTCTCTCAACCCCCCATGTATGCCCCACCGCAGAGCACCATGCCGGGTGGCATTGCGCTACACGCAGGAGGGAGCGCAGGTGAGGGTGGCGGCAGGCTGCTGACGTTGAGGCATTCGTCCCCATCCGTTGTTTCCTCTCCTCACTCTCTTCTCCGCCTCTCTCGCCTCAACCATCCCTTCATGCCCCCCCCAGTGCGCCGTGCCGGGTGGCGATCCGCTACACGGAGGAGGGCGCCAAGGTGAGGGTGGCGGCGGGCAGGAGTGCCTCAGGGGCCGTCATCCCGCGGCCTGAAATCCTCAAGAACCGCCGCACACCGCTCCCCACCGAAGGTGACCCACGTGCCTCTCTCCTACCCCCACCCACACTCGCTACCGCTCGTGCCGCCTGTGCTGGTCACTCTGTACTGCTCCCCACCCAAGGTGACCCGCACTTCTCTCATCTCCCTCCACCACTGCTGCTGCGTCCACTCGCCTGCTCCCTGCCTCCCTGCTTTCCTGCCTCCGTTCGCGCTGGGCCTTGGTCTTCCAGTCGTCGCACTGTCCTTGCCCACCAGTGGGAGGAACGAGTTGCTAGCCTCTCCTGGCTGGGCAACCCAGTTCCTTCCTGCGACAGCCACACCCGTGAGCTTCCATGCTTGTACCTCCTCCACTCACCCTCTCCTCACTCTCCTTACTCTTCCTCCTTATCCACTCCTTCCCTCCCCCCTACGCCCCCTTCTCTCTCCCGCTCTCTTCCCTCCCCATCACTCAGCGGGCCTGCGGGACACCACACCAGTGCCGAGGCGGCACATGCAGTGACGAACGACTACCAGTCAGGGGAGGGCGGGCTGCCCTGCCCATACCCTCCTCATTCCTCCCCTGCCCGC